CTAGGTGCTCAACAAATCTCACACTAGCTAATCAATCTTCGAAAAATCTTCTTTAATTTCTCGCATCTACTTGCATCGTGCATAATCTTTTTGCAAGAAATCTCCAGAATCGTCATAAATCTTCTTACTATCTACTCAGCGTGCGCATAGATAGAGTCGCCCCCCTCGGTCTGAAAGTACTATTAGCAACCGGTGGAAGCTAACGATTTTAAATTGGCTCACACTGGACTAGCTTATCGGCTCCATGTAAATCGATTAACGTACCCCATTCCAGTGAAAATTCTAGTACTACACTATGTTTGTTTTGATTCGCTATGAAAGTTTGACAGAAAAAAATGAGGGGTTCGTGGATTTTCCTATGTTTCGAGGGGTGCATCGATTAGCTTGGGACCAGAGAGAGTACCAGAGTTGAGCCAAAAAAGTTGAGCAGGTTTCTTTGTGACCTTCTGGTCTTAGAGTTACCGCTATGCTATTAGCAACCGGTGGAAACTAACGATTTTAAATTGGTTCACTACTTGACTAGTCTATTGGTTCCAACTACATCTATAAGCGTACCCCATTCTAATCGAAATTCTAGTACTACACAATGTTTGTTTTGATTCGCTATGAAAGTTTGACAGATAAAATGAGGGTTTCGTGGATTTCCCTATGGTAGATCTACACACTTAGATTTTTTGCCGAGATGGGCACCACGGAGCAGCTCAGCATTTTATTTTACTGGATCTCAGTGAAAAATTTGCAGAGATTCAGCAAAGTTTATGTTTGTTAGCTGAGATCTCGGCAAAAATTCCCGTTTGTTACTGAATCTCCGCAAGTTTTCCACTGAGATCCAGCAAAATAAAATGCCGAGTTGCTCGGTGGTGCCCACCTCGGCAAAAAAAAACTAAGTGTGTATGTTTCGAGGGGTGCATCGATTAGAATGGGACCGAAGGTAGTACCAGAGCTGAATCAAAAAGTTTAGCACGTTTCTTCAATACCTTCTGATCTTAGAGCTACATCTATGCTAATAGTATAAAGGTACCTATAACGTGCTCAACTTTTTTCAAATTATTCTAAAAAACATAATTTAAGGGTTGTGACACCGCCTCTATAGGTCTGACGATGAGATGAAAATCCCAGCATGGCGTTTATTTCCTCATCAGGGAATCCCTCGAATTTCGTTGGGTAAAGGTCATCGTTGATGCTATCGTCTGATACTGTTTCATCGCTCGCTTCGTACACAGATTCAATCATTGTAGTGGCGTTTTGAAATTGTTTTCTGTTATTTGCCAGCTCTTTCCAGAAATTCAAAGAATGGCCCGATCTCTTGATATTCTGTTTCACACTAGTTTTCCAGGTGTAATACGGCGACCAACTTTTATCTTCCCTGTGATTTATGATCGTTGTCTTCTTCAAAACTTCATCGTCTTGATCTAAAAAAAAAAGAAAATCGCCACTCGATCAAGCCAAATTCAAAGGTAGTACGTACCTGTTTGATGTCGCATTCCAAAAGTGTTGATCCAAATGAATAATAATAAATAAATCTTTCTATTTTTTGCAGCCGTTAGACTCAATTATTAGGAAACAATAATTCATTGTTAAAATCATAATTCTAAACTACATAATTATTTAATTTGTTTTTGTAGTTAAATTCTAACAAACTTTTGGTCCGCTACATCACAACTAGCATCACCAGTGTGCATCTTTCAAAATGTAAATATACAGACAAGTCCTGTGACGTGGTTGAAGTTAAGCAATCCTTAAGGTTATACCAGTGCCCAGGGATGTTGATGCGCGCATAGGAAAGTGTAAACAAGCCGAAGGCTTGATAACACCGAACTCTCTGTGCAGCGGTCTTGGGTCGTTTCGGAGAATCGTCTGTCTGACGATTCTTCGCATCCAACTTACTGTAAAACATATCTGATACCTCTTATGCAATTAAAATAACATCCGAAGTCCATCCCTTTTCATATTTTTTGTACAAAAAATAGCTTCAAAGCTCCGCCCCTGACAGGATTTCCCGCCGTTTTTTTTTATAAATAGGGCGGGGCAGAAAGTATCTTATGTGCAGAATATGTAAAAAAGGATGAACTTCTGATGTTAATCTAATTGCATATATAGAGGTACCAGATATGTTTTACAGTCAGTTGTTGATAAATCACAAACAGAATATCATCATCGTGAGCGATTTTTTTCTCAAATTTGAATGTTTTGGCTTTCTGCCCAGAAGCGGGTAAACATTAATGGAATTAATTTTACTTATTTGTAGTTTGTAAATTGTTATTTATGGGAAAAAAAGGGATCTTCAAAGTTCATGTCTTTTCAGATTGTTATTATAGGGGATAGGGGGTGTTTTGTATAAATAATTTCCACGTGTCGACTAGTGGAACCCAAGTCTCGTTCGACCCCATCGCGGGTTGTCAAGGTCACGCCACCACTCCTCTAGGGGTGGTTAACATCTGTGCTAATATATTAGCGCTAATGTACTACCCAACTAGCACATTTTTGTAGACGTTGATGCCCTGCTTACATTATGCTGGCTACTTTTTTGCACAGTGCTAGTACACTAGCGCTACCAAATCCGCATAACACCACCTTAACCGCTGACTTGATCCTGCTTGCTGCAGGACCCAGTGTCACACCGTCCAAAGCGGTAATAAGCAGAGGCACGACAGCAGCGCTGTTTATATCTTTTTAGGTTCAAGCAGTGCAACCAAATGGTACTCGATTATGATGACTGTGTTTGGGGAAAACGTATATTTCATGAAAATAGTGATAAAATTATCATTTGCACATTTTTCAAAAGTGTTTTTTTAATTGGAAAAGTATTTATTTTGGCAGATTTGTAAAGTAATATCCTATCGATTGGCGTATTTGGATTTTATTTTCATCTATAAATGACAAAGTTACAAGCGTTAAAAACCTAACACTATTTTACTACACATATTTTTTGATTTCCACCCCAGAATAGTCGACAAAGACGTAGTTCTACGTAAAAAAAAGTTGACGTATTTGTGTACTACGAAAACGTTAAATTATTTTTTTAATTACGTGTTAAATCCTAATATTTTTGATCATTTGTATGTAAAAAATAGGGGAAACATTAATATGTAAGCATGCAGCTGAATTTTTGGAGATAACTCATCTAATGCTTGAAAAAAAAATCGAAAAATTACAAAAGTTAGTGAAAGGTGTGAAATCATGGCACTGCACGACACCTTAATACAATTCTTAAAGAAAGAGCACAAACGCTGAAGTAACTGTACTTTGAAACTATTCAAACACTTTAAGTGGTTCCGATTCTTTAATTAAAAAGTATGTCCTCTTTAAATTAAACATATAAACCCTACATTCATTATAGGAACGACTATGCTCAAGTAGAAGAACAATCATACGTATCAGCCCATCAACTTCATCCTCAAAATCATCAGAATATGAATGCCAGAACACTGCCAAATCACCATAAGGGGTATTTTCAGAAACTGAATGCATTTATTGCAGAACATGCAAAATAAAATTATTGCTTTAATTACAGTCCACCAGTGATTAGCGGTTCCCAAACTCTGGCACATCCAGCACGTAATTCAAAGCATGAAATGACACCTCAGCAGCAGGCTCATTTGCACCATCATCACCAGGCTATGATGAGGCAAGGTGGAACGCACACTCTTGGACGACTGCCATCTCACAACAATAGTCCCACCCACATGCATGGACCAAACAATGGCAAATACGCCACTCTGAGCAAGCACTGCAAGACATTGGACGCAAATGATTTTTACTGAAGTTACGCCGCCTGTAACGATAAAAAATATCACCCGCCGAATATGCAACACTACCATACGCTAAGCCATCAGCAACAACAACAGCTGATGCAGCTGCAAATGCAACATCAACAGCATCTACAGCAGCAGCACCAACAACAGCAGCAGCAACAACAGCAACAACAACAACCGCAACAACCGCAACAACAGCAACAACAGCAACAACCGCAACATCCGCATATGCCACCGCATACTCGCCATGTTCAACATCCTGGTCACACCATGACCATTAACAGAAAGGTAATCGATAAGAGTCATTACAGCGATGAAGTTCCACCACCATTGCCACCGTTACGGAATCCACAGAAAGCACTGGACTCTGTTCAAGCAATACCAAGCCTCAACGATAGTTCCATCAGTGAACGCGACAAACAGATTTACATTTGTTCAACACTCAAAAATCCTAACAATCATAATGCGAACAATAATAATAGTAATAACACTAGTCATAACAATGGTAACAACACAATGAATTCCAGTAATATCCAAAATCACTATGGAACAATGAAAAACAATACAAACGCAGTAAAGAACCAAACCACTTTTAATTCAACGCCTGCTACCACGACGAAGCCGTTACCGTCTATTATTAATACACCGCTTCCGGAAATTCCTAAACAACCCCAACATCAACCGCAAGCACTAAAAGATGACATTTATGTTAAACGAAAACTTATTGACCAACACAGTAAATTTGCTACCCTGAAGGCCATTCCCTTACCGAAAATCGAAGCCTTAGAAATTGAGGCTCAAAAAAAGAAAATGGCCCTAGCGCAACAACAAAAACAACAACAACAAATGGCAAACACACCGAATGGTAACCCCGTTACCATGGCAAACAATCCTCTACCACCACCCCCAGCGACAAACATGAGTAACGCCATGATCGCATCCCAAATCCAATCCCTTCCTTTGCCTCCTCCGCCACCAGAGCTGATAGAAGAGGATCTACTACCTCCTCCACCGCCGCCGGTGAATCATGACGGTGAAGTGATCGCCAGTGAGGATACCAGCAAAATCAAAAACGACACCAAAGAGGTTATCTACGCTACCAAGGCAGTTACCAACTCACACAGTACGGCCCATAGTGGTAGCAATGGCGGTAATGGTAATAATGGCAGTATTATGAACAACAACCCAACGAATACCACTAATAATAGCGACGAGAGTAGTTTCTATGCAGTCACAGAGCTGTAGACTGCTAAATAGTGCAGCGGTGATAGATGTTGCATTTTTACTTTTCCTTAAGCGGATGATTCAACAATGAATGAAGGGTGAATGAGAAATCAAAATAAATCGTTACAGGCGGACTAAATTATTAGGTTCCATAGGAGATAAACATGAAGATTAGTCTGGTGGGAACTTGCCAGCAGAGGGAAGTTCCGAATATTACGGTCAGATCAATACGATTGGGGAATTAGAGACCAGCTCGGTAGATACTACACAGGATAGGGTTCCTTTTTAGAACGTATAATTTCTTTCTTTGTATAAATGATAGGTCGATCAAATGTGCAAGTTTCTTAGATATAGTAAGTGGATTTATGGACATACTTCCTTCACAGTAAGTGTAAGTAAGTAAGTTGATAACGGAACAAGTGTATAGTAAAGAAACTCGATTGATTCGAAGCTTTTGTGTCTATACTAAGTGAAGGATAACAACCTAAGGACATGTTGTGCAGATTTTCATCAACAACCGTATTTTCAACCGCCATCATCGTACATCACGAGAACTAGTGATTTTAGTTTGGTTACCAAGTTTAATGGTGTTGACATCATTTTCATTTATTTTATTCACATTTTACGCCAAAGGATGAATTCTAGTCTGAGAAGTGAAAACCTGCTCAAATAACTACTACAAACTATACACTTATAATTTTTTTATTAGCCCCATGTTTCCACTATACCGAAAAAAAAAAACGAAATTAGACAAAAGACTAAAGCAAATCAACAACAAGAAATGACATAACACGATGTTGGAAGCAAATTGACTAAATCCAAACTAAATCTTTTTGATATGCATATTAATGTAATTGATATTAAAAATAAGAACTTAAGACAAGATACATCTACGGAAACAAACAATAGCATCATTTGCAGTATAGAGTAAAAAAACACAACTGAGATTTTGTAGCGAATAACCCAGAAGAAAAAGACAGTTTATTTCCCAATGCGCAGTTTTAGAAGTAAATGCGTAAATATTGTAATGGGAGTACCCTTAAACCAAATATTTAATTAAATATATTAAATGTAGGAATGTAATTAACTGTTGTATATGATTATTTTTTATATTGATTGAAGATCGTGCAACCAAATACTAAAAGCAAAGAAATACAAAGTCATACAACTATATCATAGATATACCAAATATACAACAAACACTTCATGGATGTGAATAGTGCGAATGCATCACCAACACTGTTCACGCAACAACAACAAAAACCATTGTTAATCATGAAGTGTGCAAGGACGGCTCTAACAGCCACCACTACATCGCCATTTGCATTCGGGCTGAGGTCTTCAATTAGTTGCATCTATTAGTAACACCGAAACGAGAAAGGAATTTATGCAAGCTAGCAAAAGTTTTTAGCATTTAGTTTGAAGGGCATACGCGCATAACATTGAACGAAACTCTTCGGTGAAAAAATCATGAAACCATATAAGAACATGACAAGTAATTATGTAGAATTTTGAAGACTTAAACACGTAATTTAAATATAATAAAATCATGACTACAACATGGAAGTAACTGGGTTGTGTTGCATATTTATTTATTTGTCTGTTCCGAAATGCAGTGCGCAGGTAACTACTCCGTATAAATTGGCTCTTCATGCAAATGTAGCGGATAACGCGTTAATCGAAAAAAAATTGGTCAATATTGATATTGATATTTCGCCTCAATCCTTCCACTTATCATTCAACTAGCGCTTAAAACACAAAGAGCATGTCTGCCGTATTTTTACCTGTTGTCAATTTTTGAACACAATTCTTGAGTCATTTTTCAATAGGTCCTATCTACATTGATCGATTCATTCATAGCTTAGCAGCAAGAAATCAAAAATATCTCAAAATAACAAAACGACAAGCGATCAACGAGTCGAATGATAACACTATGTCAGCAATGCAAGCATATAATCTTCTTCCTATTTTTCATGACAAACTGCCTTTGCAATATATATATATATAATTTTTGGCAACCTGCTTCACAAAGTTAATCCGAACACACGTGCGTTCTTTTTTTTTGTTATGTGTTTTCTCGATTCCGATCAAGCTATTTCCTCAACCGAGTATACTGAAACAAAGCAGGCAAGCAATACGCCTTTTTTGCACCACCAACGTAGAGTGCGCCACGTGAGTTCGAGAAGAAACGTCAACCAAACCGTTTGTTTACATCAGAATAACAATTTTTCACAACGCAAATTAAAGCATTTTTCATTCAACATCTTGCCAATTTCTATCGGTAATTGTCTTATTGTACGATTTTCCACAGATCTGAACTGATTTGTACCATAACTATCCACACACAAGAAATCCGGAAGATCATAACCACTAAGGTACTTTTCTAATTTTGCATTTTTCGCAACAAAAATATTCCTGTACACCAGCAGGATGTTTGCAAAAACGTTACAGAATTAAATTTTTCAACTGTCGATTAAGTTTTGGAGCATCTCAGATGAATCAATTTATCAGGAAAAGTAAAAAAGTGTTCCGCTTCTATTCCTCTATGTCTCAAGGCAAAAATTTATGCTCACAACACTCTTTTTGACGTTCTCCTATTCACCACCAGAGGCTGAATCGATCGTTAAGTTCCCATTAAAAAGGCCTATTGGCAAATCAAAGTTGGCTCTCGTGGAGAATAGAAGAACTATGAAAGTGATGATGGTTTCAAAATTTTCCACGGGGAAGTATACGAGTGCAATCTTAAAATGCTTTTATTTTGTGAATGGAGCATTTTATTTAAATCTGGTTAGTGCTACGTTAGTAGAAAACTTCAGGACTACTCAATAGACATATAATACAGAAAACATAATTTCTTTTCAGATTTTTAGGTGTAAACATAGACTTCCGCTTTTCTACCACTGTAGCAGTAACCAGATTTAAATAAAATGCTCCATTTTCAAAATAAAAGCATTTTAAGATTGCACTCGTATACTTCCCCGTGGAAAATTTTGAAACCATCATCACTTTCATAGTTCTTCTATTCTCCACGAGTGCCAACTTTGATTTGCCAATACATCATTATCCGTCTACACTGAGCGAAAACATCCGCAATACTTCGACTGATTATTGTATTACTAGAGCCCTTTAACAATATGCTGTCAAATTTCGGATGATTTCCTTATGGTTGCATTCGTCATCAACTGATGAGCATTAGACTGATGCAAAATTTGAAATTTTCGCTCCACAGTGCTTAAACGGTTCCAAATTGGGTCCTGATTAGCCTCCCAAAATTTGAACTACTTTAGTAAGAAACTGACTTGGCACAAACCATTTCAAGTTTATATGGGAATTACTATGGGAAAACTAATGTTTTTGTTCATATGTATCTAACAATTCAACACATCAGTATGCTTTTAAAAATGATAGCAGTGATTGTAGCAAATTTTCTCAGCTACAACTTTGTTCAAACCCACTTTTCAATCAAATGTAAGGAACAAAAGTTCCCAACAAACAATTGCCTATTGAAGAAACGACTTCTTGACGATTTTATTCCACTTCATGCTTAATAATACTTGTACAATTTTTAATAATAACTTCTGTTCAGGCTTTGTTCACGCAAATGTGGAGAATTTATTCAACCACAACATTGAAATATTTGATGTTGAATAAGGTATGTCTAGAAGCTTTTATTCGACTTACAAAAGTTGTAACAAATTTTTGATTATTCAGCGTTTATTAGACATCTGTACTTCCTTAAACAGCGATGGTATAAAGGTGTATGTAGACGCTTGATTCTCATGTGAAACAATGTTTAATTATTACATCATTATACATTTATTAAACGATTATTCAACTACGGGATAATTAATCCGAAAATAAGAACGCCACGGAGCAGGGTTGTTCTCGTTAGTGATTTGTTGTGTCACATTTTTTCTGTCGAATTTATTACATACACACATACATACACACACATGTCGTTAAGTGGGATTCGAACCATGACCTTCCGATCACCAGCCGCTTGCCTTGCCATCTGAGCTATCCTAGAATACATCATATGAGCAGCTATATAAGCAATAAAAGCTTGAATCTGAAAACCTATCAGCACTTCCAGCCGTAACTCTAGCTAATTCAAGGAGATGTGAGAATGATTAATTCATTCATAGTTGTTTAACATTAGACCAACGTTACCTCTCCATCCCTTTAATTTCGATGGAAAGGATGCTATTCTTTTCTATAGATCTATGAATTGGTTGTCGTGAGTGATACGATTTATGATTACGATTTAAATTAATTAGGAGTAGAACATAAATAAAAAAAAAGGGTTGAGGCTGGGATTGAACTCGCGACCTTCTACTTGTAAAGCGGAAACGGTAACCACTATGCTACCAATTTCGTTTTGTTATTAGTCTGAAGCACTGTTGTGGAATAATGAATGAATACGCCGTTTGTAAAGCATGCAATTAAAACATGGACGCATAGTGGTATAAGAGCTATAAGAGCTGCTGACTGTATTCACCTTTATTCAGTAATATTGTTAAGCAATCCAATGGAATCTAGTAATGGAGCTAGAAAACAATTATTAGACGTATAATAAAGCATGTTATTAAATCAATTGAAACAGTCGGATTAAAGCGTCAATGTATGTGCAAATTACACTTATTCAGTATGTTATTAGATCAAACTTCTGGTGTTGAATCAGGAAGACAGTCATCGTTTGTATAGATTTTAATAAGTATATTAATCAAATCAGAGCAATCAGCGGAATAAAGGCGCATCATCGATCTCAATGAGGTTTTCTGAGCACATAATTTGACAACCCGTTTTATTCAGCATTGTACACTGTTATAAAGCATTTATTCAATCTATATGCTTATTTGTGACTCTGAATTGTTTTGGGCAGTGTTGTGGAATAATGAATCTAATACGTCGTTTATAAAGCATTTACAAAGCATTCAACTAAAACATGGACGCATAGTGGTATAAGAGCTATTTTGCTGACTGTATTCACCTTTATACAGCAATATTGTAAAGTAATGCAA